TTTTTAGCATAAAATGCACCGGGAAACTTAGACGTTCTTGTTACAGAGGTAAGGGTGTGACGACTGAGACGCTGAAAGGCTCATCTGTACTGTGAGAGTTAACAGTCGTCTGGAAACGTTTTCGATGAAGTGCGAGTAAACAGTGTGCATCCAAAGTGAAGGGTACAGTTATGTAGCGTTCTCAGGGCAGAAGATCTAAACTGGCTTGTTCAGAGATGTCCTTGCTTATCCGCTGATTGACATAGTTATTGAGCTCTGACATTTTACTGAGTGGTGGGGTGCCAGGCTGGAAAGACAGTCGACTACTGCTCAGCCATGGCCCTTGTGGGTAGAGACATTAAACAGCCAGGTCTTTAATTACTGCTGTGGTAAGTGGAAATGCAGAGTAGGTTTTTGGGCCGAGGGCTAGGACTAGGAGTTTTGCAAGCTTTGTTGCAATGTGATTTTCTTACTTTAAAAATCTTTAGCCAGGCGCTGTGGCTCACACCTGTAATCCCAGCACTTCGGGAGGCCGAGGAGGGTGGATCACCTGAGGTAAGGAGTTCGAGACCAGCCTGGCCAACATGGTGAAACCCCGTCTCTACTAAAAATACAAAAAAATAGCGGGGCGTGGTGGCAGGAGCCTTTAATCCCAGCTACTCTGGAGGCTGAGGCAGAAGAATTGCTTGAACCTGAGAGGCGGAGGTTGCAGTGAGCCGAGATCCCGGGCCACTACACTTCAGCCTGGGCAACAAGAGGGAAACTCCGTCTCAAAAAAAAAAAAAAGAAAAGAAAAGAATACTTAATTTACCTGGTCTTTATGTTTTCAGCGAAAAAAACGAGAACTTACTCCTGGAGTCGTCTATGTGCGCCACCTGCCTAACCTACTTGACGAAACCCAGATCTTTTCCTATTTCTCCCAGTTTGGCACTGTGACACGGTTCCGACTGTCCAGAAGTAAAAGGGTAAGATTTCTGTAGTTGCATTTGATGTTTTGTTTTTCAAATGTGTATTATCTTTGACATTAAAGAGCACTTTCACTTACGTATTATTTCTTATCAGATTTCATTCCAAAAAGGAGAGTGGCTGAGGTTTAGAATCTGAAACAGCCACAGGAGCAAAATCAGTATTACTGTAAAAGTTTGTTTTTTACATTGTTCCAAATCCTTACATTAAGTTGACAGTGCTGGTAAATGAACTTATGTATGAGGACCAGGCTTATCCATCTTCTTGTATCAGCCTTTGGTACAAGCATCCCTATAATAGCAAAGGTTTAGATAGTGAATAAAGATAAGGACTCTGGACTTGGACTGCCAAGCTTTAGGGCCAGGCTCCAGCCCTTACTAGTTAGAGTGATATGACCATACCATGCTCAGTGTTGTGATCTGTTAAATGTGAGTAAAACTTCACGGAAGTATTTAGTCAAAGATTAAATGAAATAATGACAATAAAATCCTTAGAATTATTGTTTGGCACATAGCAAACACTATATAATTACTATTGTGTCATACCTGCCTTCTAATGAGAAAAAGGTGTGTGCAGCTTGTTTCAAGAGTAGAGGAGTGACCCACTTTATTT